CGGCCGCCTCTCCTTCGGGAAGGAAGTCCTGCTGGGCCCATAGAGTCACCCGGCTCGACGAGGCCGAGTAGAGCCAGGGCGCCACCTGCTGGCCGCGGCCTGTCCGCATCTCCCGACCGGCTTTTCCGAGATTCACACAGACGCCTCCCTGCAGACAACACGGGCGGAGCAGGAAAGGAAAGGAAAGCGGGGCCTGCTTGTTGCCACTGGTTTGGCTGAGGCGGCGGGCGAGAGACCTGAAGAGCAAGCCTGAGCGCCCTTGTGGTTGTTGTTATGGTGCTGTCAGGGCGCCTCCGACTTACGGCGACCTCCAAAATGACCCCCTCTCCCCCGTTAACAGCCCTGCTCAGCTCTTGCAAATTCTTCAAGTCTGCTGCCTCCTTTATGCAGTCAGTCCCTCTCATACTGGATTTAGTTTTCCTCTTTTCCTGCCACCCTCAACATCTCCTAGCACATTGTCTTTTCCAGTAAATCTTGTCTTCTTGGGATGTGCCCAAAATAGGACAGCCTCGCTTTATTTATTTTTTTCTGTCCAAAGGAAGTTCAGGCTTGATTTGACGCACAAATTACTTGTTTGCCTTTCTCCCGGCCTAGGGTACCCAGAAAGCATTTCTCAAATGAATGATGTGCCCAAAGTAGGACAGCCTCGCTTTATTTTATTTTATTTTCCTGTCCAAAAGAAATTCAGGCTTGATTTGACACACAAATTACTTGTTTGCCTTTCTCATGGCCTAGGGTACCCAGAAAGCATTGCTCAAATGAACCATATTTTTCCTGTCAACTTTCTTCACTGTCCAGCTTTCACATTCATATGTAGTAATTGGAAATACAGTGGTGTTGATTATTTCCAATGGCGTTCTTGCATGACCAAAAGCTGTGCATGCATTTCAAAGGACTTTCCAAATGTGCAACACCCTGGCAGGAGCAGCCAAGAAAGGGGGTTTCTTCCTCTGAAGTGGCACAGTGAAGCTGTTGTGGCTCAGGGATGGGGAGGTGAAGGCTTGCCTCTGGCTACAAAAGGGAACCAATGACCCTCCCAAGTCCTGATCCTAATCATAGGTTCTCAAATTTTAAAGGAGTCTTGGACTCCTGCTCCATATTTTGCCCCAGTGGCTGCTGCCTCTGCGGGCACATGGGCAATAGGAGCACCTCTGACAATGGGCCGATGTCTTGCATTCTGACAGCCAGTTTTAAGGCAGGGTTTGCATATTACCTTCTTCATCCTAAGCGGACAACTCTAGCCATCTTCGTTCTAATTTTAGTTGTATGGTTACGACTTGACAGCACATTATTAATAATTCAATGTGTTAATTTTATCTTGTGACCACCAAAATGCTGTGTCCTACATGCACAGGCTATTGTTATGTATAACAGCAGCACGCTTTGCTTTTGCTTTATAACAGTAACAGCCCAATAATAGCTACAAGTAAATATAAAAGGATAAGGAACTTATGCACAGTAAGATGTATGCTACCGAAAATCATATACAGTATCATGTTCAGGAATCTGTTCTCTGTACAGTGAGTCCCTTCTAGCCACAAGTTTTCTGTATGCCTAAATTCTATGAAGCATGGCACACGAGGGCCAAATTAGGTAGAAAAGGGTAAGAAACTGGGGCCCTTTACCTAATGCTTAGCTGTAAGCTGACTTCTGTCAGACTCGCACCATCCTCGGGAAAAGGCTGTGTGTGATTGCACTGAGTCTTTCCCAGCCTAAAATTTTCTGTACATGAACAGCGTGGTGTACCATGGCAATAATAACCAAAAAAGGTACAAACGAATAAAGAACTGGGCTCCATATTACCTTCTAGCCTTTTTTGTCTATTTTTGCCATGATGGTAGTAGAGCATAAAATTGTTAAAAGTCTCCCAATCATGTTACAGAGTAATCCTAAAACCTGGGTGCAGCAGCATATCTTTATTTTAGTTTTCTGGTTGAACTCTGCTTTTAACTTTTGCACACATATGGTACTGGGAAATCATAAACTTCAGCATCATTGACACTTTGTGAGAAGCTACTGTATCTGGGGTAAACATTCTACTTACTACATTTTACCCTGCCTTTCTCCTCAAAAGGTCCCAAGGTGGTTTATATAAATAAAAGACAATATTCTCAGTGCTGCGATAAGAATGCTACAGAAATGTATCATCTCTTTGTAGCTGGATTGTAAATTTCAGAGGAGATGAGTGAGACATGCTTTAAAAAAGACAATTGCACATTTACTGCAACAAAAAGATTGTGGAAAATCCCAGCAAAAAGATAATACCATCAAGTACTGTTAGATAACTTCTGATCATAAGCATTTTATTTGATGCCCCTAATTTATTTGTTTTATTTATAGGCCACCTTTCTCCCAATAAGGGGATCTCTTGTTTTCTTTCATCTAGTCCAAGAACTCCTTCCTTCAATTTGGATTGAAAGATGACACAAAGGAATATTATTGACATACTTGTGGCACTAAATTTCTGAACACTCACTGTAGTTCCAGGGGGAACTCAATAGGATCTTGAAGGAGATGATAAGTCAGTAGCCATGGCATTGAATAGCAGTGCCTTGATATTGTATTTCAAATTTACACCTCCAGGAAGAATTAGAGGCACAAGGATGCCTTCAGCCTCATCACAGAGTAGCAACTCAGAATACTGAAAGCTGCCAAGAAGTTCAGCAGAAACAATTCCTGACATAGACCATCCACTAACATATCCTATGTCTCTGTTCAGTAACAAGGCCCAAGGCCAGGCTGGAATGAACCCAGATAATCCATTTAATTCATAAACCCCTACCTGTGATCTTCATTTATTTAAATTCAGTGTCCTCAAATGCCTGATGCTCTCTTCCTTGCTTTTTCTTGCACATGGAGCTGCATACAAGATCATGTCTATGGTGCCACCTGTTTTGTCTCCTATTAATTCTTCCTAAAACCACAACTGTCTTAAGTTTTTGGCAGGGCCCATAATTCTCTTATTAAGCTTAGATACGTGTAACTGAAACTAAAAGCAGCACTTCCTCTTTATCATGATAAAAGTGCTGTCTATGTACATAGTACTTTGCTAAAAAAACAAACAAACAAAAAAACACAGCCAGACACAACACATCCCTATCCAGTGGTACCTGAAATTTAAAATCAACACAGGGAAACAAGAGGCATGTCCTGTGAGCCATGCGTTAGTGAGAGAGTAATATGTGATTACTGCAAGTATGTGTATTTCCATTTAGTTATAGTAAAAAAAATCTTTAGAAGACTAGAGGGGGGACTTCTTTATTGTCATTGGTTTTAATGTGTTATGTGGTTTTAAATGGTTTTAAATATTGAATTGCTTCTATTTTTGCCCTCTTGTCTTGATATCTTAGGATGCAAGGGAGAATATAAATGTCTTAAATAAATAAACACACTGTAGCGGATTCCAAAAGATGACGTCATTCCTGCATGTCAATCAGAAGATAGAGCAGGAGGGGCGGAGTCAGAATGACAGTTAAGACAGCTAGAAGAGACAGAGAGAGTTGGAATAAGAGAGGGATAGAGAGACGTAGGGACAAGAAGTTATTGAGAGAGTGTTAGGGTTTAGGAATAGATTAGAGGGGTTAGGAAAGAGAATTGAACAGTTTACATCATATTGAACAAGTAGGAATGAACGCATAAGCATAATATGAATAATACCAGTGATTGAATACATGATTTAATATAATTGAACACCTGAAACAGTTATATTTGATTCTCCTCATAATTTTTGTTCTTTAATAAAAGAAAGTTTGATCAAAACCCCCGATTCCTAAGTTCTATGAGTAGCTCCTAAGTGTGTGGAAATTGTATTGGTATTAAGAGAATACCTGGTGGCAGCGAAAAGGGTGTGTTCACCTTTGTGGAGCCCAAAGATATAAAGGGCGCAAAGGGGGATCGCCACAAGTGGTGGCAGCGAAAGTGGGATTCGAAAGATAATCCAGTGAGCCAAAAAATTTCAGTCTACCAGAGAAAACCTGAATTTCCTGAGCGTAGCAAACCTAGTAGTCTGGTGCTGCCAGGGCAGGAGTGGGACCCTTGAAAGTAGCTTGGTGAAAAGCTTAAAAAGGGACTCCTGAGACAGACCAGAGAAAGACTACAGAAAGGGGAAGCTCTGAGGAAAATTCTA